TAATTTCATTATTATAATTTTTTATCATTGTTTTATTTTGTTTTCCATGTTTGAAATAAATAAATAAATAAATAAATAAATAAATAAAAATCATTTGTGTAGACATCTTTTTAATATTATTCTTATCAAAAATCAAATGAGCTGGTATAGAGAAATAAATGTCCATTAGTTCTTCAAATATTCAAAATGTGATACTTGGCAGCAGCTCAGACGCATTCAGAACACAAACTAAATACCTGTTCATTGCATGAGATCATTGCTTAACACACATGTTCCAAAACCTTTCCAAACCACGGACCCCCAATAGCAACTGCTTCTGGCCAGGGACCCCCAACCCCCTGCAAACCTACAAACATCCATCCATCCATTTTCTGTACACGCTTCTTCTTTTCAGGGTTGCGTGGTTCACTGGTGCCCATATCCAGCAGTCACAGTGCGAGGGGCGGGGTACACCCTGGACAGGTCGCAAGTCCATCACAGGGTCACAAAAAATACTACAAAATATGTAGAAACATTTTTTCCCTCAGTTTTGCATTTGTTTAGCATAAGAATTCTAACAAACATGTTTTAAACACTTCATCATATTCTATTTGAAAAAACAACTTTTCAACAAACTGTTAGTGGTAAGAATGAAACAAAATAAATCAAATTTCTCTTAAACTCTCTTAAATAACATTTAAGTATATTATAAAAAAGATTGAAAAACAGATTTGATTTCATGTTGATGATTTAGATTTTATGTTTTCCTTCCTGCATTTTTTTCTCATCTTTTCTTCAGCTTTCTGAGGCCTCTCTAATTCCCCCTGGTGGTAACCTAGGGGGCCGCGACCCCCACTTTTAGAAAAACACTGGCTTAATTAAAAATTTATTATTAATTGTTTGTACTTTGTTTGTTAACAAAATATCTCATGAACTACTGATTCCAATGAGTCTATTATAAAGTAATCAATGTACAGCTATAACAAATTACTTTTTTGGAGTTAATCAAAGGATGACTGCTATAATTAATCAACCTTAGCAAACACAAAAATGACTATAACTCAGGAATATCTATAGATACAGAGGTAAATGATAAGTGTTAGTTGCTGAGAGTCATTTCCAAAACATATTCCGAGTGTGACATGTAAGTTAAAAAATATTTAAAATGTTTAATGAGCAAAATAATATTTTTGCTCAAAACTTTAATTAGTTTTATGATAATAAATGTGTTGGTCATATTTTCCTATCCTAACACAGCATAATATTCTGTATTTGCTTATATAAACATACGTTTACTAGAACACCTGCATTTTTCTACAACTTTTAGGCTGAACTGGTTGAAGGGACGTCCACAARTCCAGCCGAACAAGTTTGCTGAATATCATTAAGGCAGGTTCAACAGAGTTAGTTTTCCTCAGTTCCAAATGAAAGAGGGAATGATTATGATTGATTAATCATTCGGCCCAGGGGTGTCACATAGTGATAATTTACATAGCCCAATTAATATAAGATTAATTGCTTTTTGCACACTCCAGTCAAGGTTAGAGTGTTATTTAATAATTTATAATGGAAAGCACTCTACTTCACTTGTTTCCATTTCTTATAAGACTCTAGTGTCTCCTGTCTGCACATTTAAAAAAAACATATGCACGACACTCCTGAAACAAGAGCTCAACATGTTTTTCATCCAATAAACGCCTCACTTTGCTGATGTCACYTGCAGAAATGGACGTAATGCAGGGAGCCGCCGGGATGGAGAGTGGAATCAATAACCGGTCGGATTGTTTTCTGTGCAGCCGCCTCGTTTGACCGGCGCGCCGGTCGTGACCTGAAAATGCTCGTGTTAAATCACAGAGGAAGTTTCAATCTTCCACTCAGTGAACGAAACTGGAGGAGAGAGAGGGCTTACAGGAAAGGATTTACCGAGCGGCCCCTCCCCTTCGCTGGAAACCCGATCTACCAGGGGATCCATGCTGGAAAGACAGCATTTCATACCAAAGACATTTTAATAGGCTGTCATGACATATCCCATTTGGAGTGGCCTTTCTAAATGGACTGAGACGCTGCAATGTATCTTTTATGAGCCATGGTATCCTTTAAAAGTGGGCGCACCTTCCAAGAAGTCTGTAACTGTCATTTGCTGAATAGTTATAGAAGATTTATGGAATAAATGGATTTTTTGAAGTGACAATACTTATTAAAAGGGCTCCTGAACTGGAATAGCTGGAGGAATAATCTTACTTTGGGTTAAACAAATGAAAAAACTTAAAGTCGGAGAGATGAGGACTTCAGTTTATTGAATAAACTGTTTCTCAAACTGTTATTGGCTGCAAATAATCTGATGAGAATTTAATAAAATAAGTTTGAGCTCCGCCCCATGGAGCGAGTCCGGTCCGGTAGCCTCAGGATTCCATCTCTGCTGTTTGCAGATGATGTGGTCCTGTTCGGCTCTCACTGGAGCAGCTTTAAACTGAGGATCAGCACCTCCAAACTTGAGGCCYTGGTCCTCAGTTGGAAAAGGGTGACTGATCTCTCTGGGTTGGGGGGTGAGGTTCTGCCTGAAGTGGAGGAGTTCAAGTATCTTGGAGTTTTGTTCACGAGTGAGGGAAGAATGGAGCGAGAGATTGACAGACGGGTTGGTGCAGTTTCTGCAGTATTYCGGACTCTGAACAAGATYGCAGATACAAGTGGTCGAAATGAGTTTTCTCCACAGAGTGGCTGGACTCTCCCCGAGAGACAGGCTAAGTTTAGAGCAGAGCTGCTGCTCCTCCACATCGAGAGGAGCCAGAGAAGGTGYTTCAGACATCTAGTCAGGACGTCTTAAACCTATCTAGGGAGGTGCTTCAGGCATGTCCAATTGGGGCCAAACCCCAAGGAAGGACCCAGGACACGCTGGCTGTGTTCACATTCAGGGGCTAGGTCCCTCAAAGGACCCGGTCTACCCAGTCTAGGTGGGCCGGGTCCTTGATAGACCGCAAGGACCGGAACAAATAGATCAAAATGAGCAAAATATCAATGTATTGGTTTTATAAATAACACAAAACAACAGAARTAGCTATATAGGCAAAATTTGAAGAACTAAGGGACCTGATGTAGGTGCATGCTTATTTCTCTATACCAGCTTGTTTGATTTCTGACAATAATAATAATAAAAACGTCTAAACAAATGATGAAAGTAATAAAAATACAACCGCTTGAAACTTCTAATTTTTATACCGACAGATGTTTATTTAAAACTGTGCTCCTTTCTCTCGCTTCGTCCACCATTACGAGCATCAAACAAATCTCCGGTTGGCCGGCAGTGCATTATGGGATGTGGTGGACCAAGAAGGATCCACTGGACCCGTCCCTTAAATTGGGGGGAAAAGGAGGACACATTTGTGGGCCGCTTTGGAGGAGTCTTCGTATTTGGAAAGCTGAGAGCCAACTCAGAATAAACAGCAGATAATGGATGGATGGATGTTTGGTTTCTCTGAAGCTCAAATCGTATAATATCATAATCCACGTGACGTTCTTAACAGGACTTGTTATCTTAGGAACTGAGCAGTTTTCTCGTTTGTTACAACTTTTTAAAGTTAAACTTCCTGTCCGTCTATTTAACAGGCTCAATCCCAGTTGTCCGTGTAATGCTGCAGGAGGAGTCCTGTCAATAAACGTTGGGGCTTTTGAAGCTCTGATCATCACACTGMTAAAGTGAAGCAGACAAATGAGAGAGTCTGACTGATGCAACAGCCTGAAAACCACTTGTGTCTCACAAACATCATATTTTTACAGAAATTAGGTTTCGCTTACTAGAAATAGAAGGTTCACTACCTGAATGTTTCCTGAACTAAAGTAAACACGTCTCCTATAAGTGATAAACACAACAAATGTGCAAGAATATTATCCAGTGTGCAGAATATATTATGAATGTGAATCTAAAATGCACAACCGGTGTCAGAGTCTGGTCCGCATTGCCGGCAGTAAGTCGGGCTCGTTTCCTGTGAGAGTTGGACTCCGCCAAGGCTGCCCTTTGTCACCGATTCTGTTCATTACTTTCATGGACAGAATTTCTAGGTGCAGCCGAGGTGTTGAGGGGATCCGTTTTGGTGGCCTTAGGATCGCATCTCTGCTTTTTGCGGATGATGTGGTCCTGTTGGCTTCATCGGAACGWGATCTGCAGCTCTCGCTGGAGCGGTTCGCGGCCGAGTGCGAAGCGGCCGGGATGAGGCTCAGTGCCTCCAAATCCGAGMCCATGGTCTTGAGCCGGAAAAGGGTAGAGTGCCTTCTCCGGGTCAGGGGGGTCGCCCTATCTCAAGTGGAGGAGTTTAAGTATCTGGGGATCTTGTTCATGAATGGGGGAAGAAGGGAGCGGGAGGTCGACAGGCGGATTGGCGCAGCGTCTGCTGTAAAGCGGGCGCTGTACCGGTCCGTCGTGGTGAAGAGAGAGCTGAGTCAGAAAGCGAAGCTCTCGATTTACTGGTCAGTCTACGTTCCTACCCTCATCTATGGTCATGAGCTTTGGGTCATGACCGAAAGAACGAGGTCCCGGATACAAGCGGCTGAAATGGGTTTCCTCCGCAGGGTGGCTGGGCTCTCCCTTAGAGATAGGGTGAGAAGCTCGGTCATCCGGGAGGGACTCAGAGTAGAGCCGCTGCTCCTCCACGTCGAGAGGAGCCAGTTGAGGTGGCTCGGACATCTGGTAAGGATGCCTCCTGGACGCCTCCCTGGTGAGGTATTCCGGGCACGTCCCACCGGGAGGAGGCCCCGAGGAAGACCCAGGACACGCTGGAGGGACTATGTCTCTCGGCTGGCCTGGGAACGCCTTGGYGTTCCCCCGGAGGAGCTGGAAGAAGTGGCTGGGGAGAGGGAGGTCTGGGCCTCCCTTCTGAAGCTGCTGCCCCCGCGACCCGACCCCGGATAGGCGGAAGAAAATGGATGGATGGATGGATGGATGGATGGATGGATGGATGGATCTAAAATGCATTAGTTGTTTGTTTCTCGTCATAAATCCAGATGTTTTTCCTGGTGTGTGTTTCCAGTGGGACGCCATCACAGAGATGGATGAACAGAACCGGCCCATCCACACCTTCCAGGTCTGCCACGTCATGGAGCCGAACCAGAACAACTGGCTGAGGTCCGGCTGGATCCAGAGACAAGCTGCACAGCGGGTCTGAACCTTCTGTTCCCGTTCCCCAAATCTTTTTTTGAAATCAGGTTTTTATGAAGTCGTCTCAAAGTAGGGGTTTGTTGTTGTGACATTTTCTCAACTTTGAGATAATGTCTCGCTCCCTGGAMGGAATTCAGTCCTCCGCATTTTCTATCATATGAGAAAAATGACAAGCAGATTTGCTTTAGTGCGTCAAAAAGGTGACTTCTTTCAAGACAATTTCATTAAAATCAGTTTAGAGAAGTTTATAATAGAAATGGAGAGTTTTTTTTGTCTTCCATACTGGAGAGCTCTTTGTTATAGTGACAGCTGAATGATGAAATGCTGAAAACGTGGTGAAAAATCAGCTTTTCTTTGTGTGTATTTGCAGAAATGTACATTAACTGTTTCAGTGGACTAAATTTTATCTAAGTTAGAATCATTTTTGCCCAGTCTCTTAATTTAGTGTAAATAGATGTATTATTGATTTCACACAAAATAATTAAGTACTCTTTGGCTCCRCTTAATCAATATTCTGCTTCTTTTAGCTTTAGAAAAATCAGTTTTAGCTTTTTCCACAAACTTTAAAGGGACCATATCATACAAAATCCACTTTAGCCTTTAAATACAGTTTGTTGAGTATTTAGAGAAAAGTTTGATTTAGTTTCTACGGGTGTTGCGTAGATATCTTTATATTCTGTTTGGCTCATGTTTTTCAACTCTCAGTTTTCTTTATTTTCTACTATGATTTCTGAATTAATATGTCCAATTATTTGTAACAAAATTGCCAAATAAGGTCTGTGTCTCAATTCAAAGGCTTCTCTTCATGCAGCTGYGGAATATCAAAAAAATAAATAAATAAATAAAACAAATCACAGAATCTCAAAAACCAAGGATGCATCAGGTTTCCACACCAACCGAGGATATCCCACAATTGAATGTGCCGACAGCAAACTAAACAGAGAAACAAAGACAGATATATATATATATATATATATATATATATATACTGTATATTACGTAATGTTTTAGTTGTGAAGTAATGTGAAGGCTAGGCCGTCTCATTTCGCAGCAGTTTCATGCAGCCCATGAACTGAGATCAGCCAAAGTCTGGACTTACCAACTAAACAATTTGGTGGTTCTGATTCTCCTCTGGCTCTGGGTCAGACTCTGGCTCCAGCATGTAAAGCTGGATGGACAAGTCTTACCTTGCTGACATCTTTTAATTCACGAGTTAATCGGGACACACCTCAGAAAAGGGGCGGGGCTTGTGGAGTTACAATAATGAGGAATTCAGACCAAAGCATTGCAGTTCCACTTTATATGGACCCAGACTGAAGGATTTAAATGTGGAAAAAGAAGGATTTAAATCATGTCTACTTTAACAAGCCTACAGCATTCAGCATTTACACAAAAATAGGTCAAAGTGAAACAAAACGTTTGGGTTATAAACTTTCTTTGATGTTTTGTCTCAGGTGTATGTGGAGCTGCGTTTCACCCTGAGAGACTGTAACTCCATTCCATGGGTCCCCGGCACCTGCAAGGAAACATTCAACCTGTTTTACCTGCAGACAGACGAGCCGCTGCCTGCAGGAACGCGGTTTCGGCCAACAGACTACGCAAAGGTCAGTTCCTGGATCGGGTTTAGGCTCTCGGGTGCGCCGCTGGTTCTCCTTGAGTAGAACTGGACAAAGTGCTTTGTTGTTGGCTTCAAGGTGGACACCATAGCAGCGGATGAAAGCTTCACACAGACGGATCTCGGAGATCGAGTCCTTCGCCTCAACACGGAGGTCAGGGAGGTGGGACCGGTGACGCAGAAAGGCTTCTACTTGGCTTTTCAAGACGTGGGAGCGTGTATCGCGCTTGTGTCTGTCAAGGTTTGTAAACTGGTTGTGCTGTTGAGAATGATGCTCATGAAATTTCTAATTTATGTTTTAACTCCACATTGTGTTTTTCCTCTTTCACGTAAGGCGTTCTACAAACGCTGCCCGTCAACTCTGAGGAACCTCGCGGCCTTTCCTGAAACGGTGCCGCACATGGATTCGTCCTCACTGGTGGAAGTGAGAGGGGCGTGTCTGGAGAACGCAGAGGAGAGGGACACACCCAAACTGTACTGTGGTGCTGACGGGGACTGGCTGGTGCCACTGGGCCGATGCATCTGTAGCATCGGTCACGAGGAGACGGACGGCCACTGCAGAGGTGAGATGCCTCCTGGCACGTTTTGGTTTTTGGCGCTCGTTTTACAGGCGTTTGCTCGCAGGAACTACCGGCACAGAGGGGAAAACCAAATAAAAATAAAAAGAGAGGATGTTGCGTTTCACTGTTGGATCTCATGGGTCTTCTCTGCGATTTGCGCAAGTCAAGTAAGGGTCTCTGCAGAACGTGTTGACCTGTGGGCGGAGACGGCCCAAACTGTCATTGGCCGAGGTCTTGATGTGGGCAGAGACGGCCCTACTCGTGATTGGCTAAGGTGTTGATGTGGGCGGAGACGGCACAAGAGATGTGATTGGTTGGATTGACGTATGAGGCTGGAGGCAGCAGGGGGAGTAGCTTGGTCGAGTCAGGCAGGAAGTAGCCTGGTAAAAACCAGACCCTTGTCRTTCACGAAGCAAAACTAGAATTGAGTGGAGCTGCGTAGGAAGGCAAGGTCCAGGCTAGGCAGGAAGTAACATGTTTTTTTAGATTCATCTTAGTCATAACTTGAGAAAGGAAAGTGGTAGTTGCACGCAATTTGAACGTCGTACATGTGAAAGGAAGTGTAACAATATGGCTCGGTCAAAACATTCCTAACCAGCCTGTGAAAAAACATGGATTTTTATCGATCTTTTTACAGGCTGATTAGGGATGTTTTAACCAAGCCATATTGTTACACTTCCTTTCACATGTATGACGTTCAAATTTCGTGCTTTCCTTTCTCAAGTTATGACTAAAATTAATCGTTGCTTCCTGCCTGACTCAACCAAATTACCCCCCCCCCCCGCTGCCTCCAGCCTCCTCAAGCCCCACAGTCAATCTGACCAATCACGTCTCTTGGGCCATCTCCGCCCACATCGAAACCTCCGCCAATCACGAGTAGGTCCGTCTGCGCCCATCAAGACCTCCGCCAATCACGAGTATGGCCGTCTCCGCCCACAGGACAAAACCTACTGCAGAGACCCCTTACTCGCGCAAGTTGGAGTTTGCTGAACTGCTAGTTCCTCCTCTCACTCTGACATCCTTGTCTGATCCTTTTCATCTACGATTCTCATCATCCTTTTTTCAGCTCCATTTCCCTTCATTGTTTTCCCTGCTCTCTTGTCCATTTTATTTACTTCCCCRTTCTCTAACTCCTATATTTTCTCTCCTTTAAATTGCGCTGCACTCATTTTCTCCCAGGAGATAATAAGCCATGCAAATCAGAGAACGTAATGCCCAGAGTTGTTCAAAATGTCTAAATCATTACCTAAGCTACCTTCCCAGTCAATGGAGGAGAAGTATTTTAAATCTGCAGTGTATAGTATATCCAGGTGATAAAGATTCAGTTGAGATGGGTGCAAAAAAATTTAGCTTCACTTGACATTTACTGTACAGACATTTGAAAATAAAAATTGTTATAAATACCACAACTCTTCTGCAAATGGCTTTCTAAAATGTTTTCTCTGTAATTAGTTCTATCAGCATTCCCTAAACGTAGCTCCCTGTGAGCGGAACATTAGGAAAAAAAAGTTTAAGAAATTGTTGACTTGTTCCAAATAGTCTTTTGGCCTGGTTTCTCATTTAGACTGTGCAGACAGACTGGGAGCTAGCTGGCTAATTGCCTTCATTTGTTAGTTTCACAGATAATTTAGCTTGCACCTAGTCTTTTCTAAAACTCCCCCCGCCCCTTTTTCTCTTCCTGCCTCACTCTGGTAATTAAAGCGGGAGCTAAATTGAGCCACACCGCATGATTACAATTAAAGTGCTTGTGTTTCTGACCACATTTTGCAGACTTACAGCAGTCTCAGCTGGCTGGGGTGAAATTCATGTGGTACCCCTGTGGAGATGCGGTTGCTCAGGGTATTACAGCTCAAACAGTCATTAGTAGCAGATATGTAGGACAGTCGGTAATATCTTCTTTAGTTGCTCCTCGGGTGTACTTTTCCTTCTTATCTTTGTCTCTTTTATCTGCTCCTTATTTATCTTTTCACTCCTTCTTTCGCTCTCAATCATCTGAAGTTAAACAACGCTGAAGCCTGACGGGAGAGATTACCAATGAGGCGGGAGCTGAAGKGCTGCAGTCTCATGGTGTATTTCATATATATGTCCCAAATCTACGCTCTCCCCGTTCACCACGTTTGGATGACAGCAGTGGCTTTTCTTGATGGTTCTGTAGTTGCAGCACTGAGTGCTTTTAACAGCTGCTATATGTCAGTACCTCCTGTCTATGTGACCCACTTAGCATTGGAAAAACAATGTGACAGAAAGCTCAGGGTACAGCAAAACTGTAATGTCATGTATGATGTGACACCCTGCATTTAAAAAAATATCTATTTGGACGCCTAAGAGGAAGAAATTGAACAAACCAACAGTTTGTTTTCTACTATGGAGTTTTAGGGCCCCTTTGCAGATAAAAAAAAGGGAGGAGCAAATTTCCAACCAAAGAAATCCCAAATTTTGAAATTAATTTCAGAAATTTTCAAAAACAAAACAAGAAAATTCTCTGAGCTCCAGAAATCATCACTTTGCAAGACAAAACTCAGAATTTCTGACATTAGTTCCAGAAAACTTTGAGAGAAAAACAAGCAGATTCTCTTACGTAGAAAATTCGTAGATTTGCAAGAAAAAAAAAACTCGGAAATTTCCATAATTAAAGGTAAATATTTTCAACATCTAAACTAAATATTTTCTGACATGGTAAAGTGGACTAGAGCAGATTAACGGTAGTGAAAACAGATGGAATCACCCTTTAGGCATTTCTGAAAACTTCAGAGTTTTTTTTTCTTGTATATTTCTGACTTTACCAGGCAAATAGACTTCCAATGAAAATTACCTTGTGGCTAACTCAGATTTATTTACATTTCAACTAGTTTGGATGTTCATTAATGCATGCTGTCGCCTATTTTAAAAAAGGCAAAAAAAAAAAACCTTTGTTATGAGCTGCTGTTACATAATCCCAACAAAATAACTTGGAAAAAGGTTGTTTGCTAAGTTGTTCTTCACATGTGTGCAAGGCATTAGTTCATTATTTTGACTTTAAATATATATATA